CCCCCTTTCCCCCCTCCTCTGTATCCTCCCCCCCCACCCCCCGCCCGGACTGGGGTGGGCAGGGCAGGGGCAGCTGGCGGGCGGGCAGGGAGGGTGACATCCCGTGTTTGGTGGCCACAGCATCTGTCCCTTTGTGGGGTGGGGGTGGGGGCGACGAGGGGGACCCAAGGGAGGGCCCGGCCTGGCTGCCTTTCAGTGGCGGCAGCTGTGAGGGGGATGGGAGAGGAGGGGGGTGCGCACCCACCCCTAGCACTGCCTGGAGTCATCCCCTCCCCAGGAGAACCGGGTGGGGGGGAGGGGGGTGGTGAATTTGGATGCCTGTTTCCTGAGCTGACAAATAGGACTTGGAATAGTTAAGACCTTGAGGAAGGGCTCCCTTCCCTGAGGAAGGGAGTTACGCCCCCAGTTCCTTGTTGTGGGGACTGGAAAACAGGCATAGAGGGGCAGGAGGTGTCTGGACAACCATGCCAAGGACTGGCTTGGGGAGCCCCTAGAATCCTCACATGGAATCAGCAGTAATCTATCTTCTGTCCCGTACTTGCTCTGTTTTCTAAAAGGGGAAACTGAGGCCTGGAGCCAGGAAGGGCCAAAGGCCCTGAGCAGTCCGGGTCCTGGCTCACCTTTTCTGTGCAGCCAGCCGTGTCCCCCTAATTCGGACCTGTTGAACTGGATCTTCCCTCCTCACCCCATGTCCCCCATTGTCCTTGGGCCCCTCACTCAGATCAGTGACGCTGTCCCCGGGCCCCCCAGGGAGCACGGCAGGGGTAATTGTCTTGTTTTCTGTCAGCCACACGACAGTTCAAGGCTGTGGAGGAGCCGGTGACAGATCTCATCAAACCCCAGCCCTGTCGGATAAATACAGGCGTCTGCGGTATAAATATTTGAAAGGGGCTTCTAATTACATGCCGTGGCCGGAATAGCAATTAGGGACCCCCAGGCGGAATCAAACGCCGTTTGACTTTCCGGGTCCTTTGAGCTGGCTTCTCCTGGGGCTGGCCCCCCTTCCCCCACCTCCAGGAGAGAAGAGGGGCAGCAGCAGCAGGATGGGAGGGGGCGGCAGGCCCGTGGAGGCGGCTGGGGGGGCTGGGGGTCCGACCACCTTGTCAAAGCCCTGTGACCTTGAATCACAACAGAACCTCTGAAGACTTTGGATTTTTGATCAGGAGAGGAGGGAGGCAGGGAGGGAGGGAGGGAGGGAGGGGGAGAGGCACTGAGCAGAGCAATGAGGAGACAAAGGCAGGAGATGGTATGGTTTGGGGATTCTGGGTGGTGGGGACCCCCTGGGCCTCTGGGAGTGGAGCTGAGTGGGGGAGGGGCAGGGCCTCCACCCGCACAGGTAAATGGGAAGTTTTACTGCCTTTGACTGGAGAAGCTTGCATTCCCAAGTATAATTCATTACCCTACAGTGCACCCCTTTAAAGCTGGGATTTGGGGCTGGGGTGTAGCTTCAAGGTGGACAGTCTGCCCAACATTCGCAAAGCCCTGGGTCCCATTCTCCATTCTTGTGTGTGTGTTGGTCCTGGGGCTTGAACTCTGGGCCTGGGTGCTGTCTCTCAGTTCTTCAGCTCAAGGCTAGCTCTCTACCTGTTGAGCCACAGTGTCACATCTGGTGGAAATAAGAGTCTTACAGACTTTTCTGCCTGGGCTGGCTTTGAACCAAGATCCTCAGATCTCAGACGTGAGCCACCGGTGCCCTGCTCCTGGGTCCCATTTTGGGGAAGAAGAAGAAAGAAGAGGGGCTGGGAAGGTGGCTCAGTGGTAGAGCACTTGCCTTGCATGC